CTCCAGGGAAAATAGACTTCCTTCCCACACAATCAAAGGTCTCTGCCATCCATCTCTCTTTGCACAAGCACACAGACAGGGGATGGGATACATAACACAGAAAAGCGGGTCCCTGGGATCACAGTCCCAGGGACAAGAAGTTGGGGGAGTAAGAAGCCTCCTTCCTTCCCAAAAGGATCCCAGAAGGGATCGCAAAACCCCACAGAGCTCCCATTCAAGCACTAACGGAGCCAAAACCAGCTGCTCCGGAACAGACCCTGAGCATTCATTCAGCACCAACATCCAAACTCGGAGCCGAAGGACCAGCGCTAGTGACCCACAGCCAGGCACCCAACAACCCCATCAGGGTGTTTCGCTCCCAGCACCTGCCGGGGGGCCGTTCACTCCTTCCTCAGAGACTTTCCGCTCCTCCTTTTCAGACCTTCTTCAAGTTTTGCTCCTTCCCACCCAGCTAGGAAGGAAAGGTGTCTGCTGAGCGCTCCACACCCCCAGCCGGGGGCCCCCACGGCAGAGCGCCCAGGACCGGGGCGCTGGAACAATTTGTGTAATGGGGGTGCTGAGAGCCATTGAACAAACTGTAAACCCTGCATGTGATGGAAACCACTTCCAGCCAGGGGGTGCGGCAGCACCTCCAGCACCCCTAGATCCAGCACCGATGAGCAGGGACCAGGAGCACCCAGGGGTGCACGCCCCAGGGAGACCCGCTGGAGGAGGGGGAGCAGGCGGCCAGCACAGGCTCAGGGAGCGGCACCCCCGGTGTGGGTCCCATTGCGGCTACAGGGGACAAGCCGCTCCCCGGGCGCGCTCGGGGGTCCCCGCGCCCCAGCCCGGGCTCCGTCCCCCCGCGCCCCTCCCGAGAAAGAGGGAGCCAGGGCGCAGGGAAGTTTTTTAGGTGGGGAGGGAGGAAGCCGACTCCAGACCTACCCGCTCCACATGCTGGCTCCGGCCCCCTCCCTCCCCGCGCTGCCCGCGGCCCCTCACTCCGGGCGCGCTGCTGCAGCCATCCCTACGCCGGGTTGGGGGCCAGCGGCGACTCCCCGGCCCCGCGCGCTGCGGCAATCCCGGGAACCGCTGCCCGCCGCGCGCCGCCGCTCCAGCCTGGCTCCGCCGCCGGGGGCGGGGGGAAGGGGGGATGGAGGTCACATGACCTCTGGGCGGCTCCAATTGCAGCATGCACGTCCCCCTCCCCGAGCCTCATGTGACTGATAATTCAGCACCGAGCCCGGACCTCTCCCCAGGCTCGCCACCCACAGGCTCGCCTGTCATCCACGCGCCGGGCATCCTGCAACTCCCCTGCACAGACACTGGCGGTGCATGGAGCGCAGCCTCCCCGCCCCCGCCCCCCCTCTCCATCACAGGGACCCCCCCAGACTCAAAAATCACTGCAACAATCGTGCCTGGAGACTGAGATCTGCCCGTGGAGGATGGAGGAGAAAGATCCCTGCTCCCCAATTGTATGGGCTGGCTTGAAAATTCAGCAGGCAGGGTCTCCGCTCTCCCTTCCTTGCACCCAGCACAAACGCTGACAGCGCAGATTGTTTCCTTGGGCGGGTTCCCTGGAGAGAAGGATGCTAATGAGGAAGATCAATGGGGAGGCCTGGCTGACAGCAGCCTGGGCATTTTGACTTCATCCAGAGGTGCTGGTGCTGCTGCCGCACCCCCAGGCTTGAAGTGGTTTCTGTCCTACACAGCATTTACAGTTCGGTTCAATGGCTCTCAGCACCCCTGGCTTCGTCTGTGTGCTCTGGGATAAACCATGAGACTGAATAATGATGATGCTTTGTTCAGACGTCCCTGCTGGGAGACAGTGGCAAATGCAAATGGCAGGCATTAAAGCAGAATTGTGTGGGTCTTTCCCTCCCCTCCACCCCCAGTTTAGGACTCAATTCTGCGGCTAATCCGTGCATGACACTTTCATTGACCTCCCTGTATTATGCAAGGAAAGCATCTGCAGAGTCAGGCCCATAACTGCAGAATGGTAATTACATTATAGAGTTACTGTATTTCTTAATATCTCAGGTTTCTCCACACCCATTGCAAGGGCCGAATTGGACAGTTTAGTAGCCCAAGAATCTAGTCTACACCATCTACACTTTCCAGACCTAGAGATATGACCCAGCTCCTCCTCCCTGAGCTGAATTCCATGGAGTTTAGTGTCTTTAAGAGGAAACTTTAAAAACCAAGAGCTTGTCTGCTCTGGATGGACAGTCAAAGCCCTGTGGTGTCGCTGATTCCCCTTACAGGCCAACAGCAGAATTTGAACTCAAGGTCCTTCAGCACTAAAAGCACGAGCGAATGCTTGAGCAAAAGGACTATTAGCCGGGCAAATGGGCAGTCTCTCTGGCTGGCTGTGGTATTTATATGACCCACATCACCATAGCAAATGAGCATCTCAACCCTCACCGTCTTTAATGTATTTATCCTCACAACACCGCTGTGAGCTAGTGCAGTGTTATTTTATTATCACCATCGTACAGATGGGGAACTGAAGTACAGCGAGTATGTCTACAAGGCAAAACAACAGCAGTTGAAACTCTCAGAGCCCACGTCTACAGACTTGGGCTCACACTACAGAGCTAAAAATAGCTGTGTGGCTGTTTCAGCTTGGGCTGGAGCTCAGGCTCTGAAACCCACCCCTCCCCACCTGGGCCTCAGAGTCCAAGCCCAAGCGTCTACACCAGGGTGGCCAACCTGATCGTGAGAAGGAGCCAGAATTTACCAATGTACATTGCCAAAGAGCCACAGTAATACATCAGCAGCCCCCCATCAGCTCCCAGCGCCTTCTACCCACCGGCAGCCCCACCGATCAGCGCCTCCCCCTCCCTCCCCTCACGATCAGCTGTTTTGTGGTGTGCAGGAGGCTTGGGGGGGGCGGAGGGAGGAGCGAGGGCACGGCAGTCTCGGGAGGGCACGGGAAGGGGTGGAGTGGGGGCAGGGCCTGTGGCAGAGCCAGGGGTTGAGCAGTGAGCAACCCCCTGCACATTGGAAAGTTGGTACCTCTAGCTCCAGCCCCGGAGTCGGTGCCTACACAAGGAGCCGCATTTTAACTTCTGAAGAGCCGCATGTGGCTCCGGAGCCACAGGTTGGCCACTCCTGCTCTACACGGCTGTTTTTAGCACCCTTGCACAAGCTTTGTGAGCTCAAGTCTGCAGACCCAGGCTCTGAGACACACTGCCACAGGTTTGGGTTTGTTTGTGCTTTTTGGGGGGGAGTGGAGGAGGGTTGTGCCACACAGGGCCGGCTTTAGCAGGTGCGGGGCCCCACGCCGGGACGCGAATTGTCTCGCACCCCCCCACACCCCAACTCCGCCCCGGCCCGCCCCGACTCCGCCCCCTCCCTGCCCCATTGGATCCCTCCCCAAATCCCTGCCCTGGCCCCACCCCCTGCCTCACCTCCTCACTGCCCCATTGGATCCCTCCCCAAATCCCCGCCCTGGCCCCGCCTCTTCCCCAAGCACGCCTCATTCCTCCTCCTAACCCCTCCCTCCCAGGCTTGCGCTGATCAGCTGTATGGCGGCGCAAGCGCTGGAGTGAGGGGGGAGAAGCAGGACGCCGCTTTTTTTTTTTTTTCCGCTCCGCCGGCAGCCCCGGACGTTGCGGGGCCCCATTCCGGGGAATCGGCCGAATCGGCTTAAAGCTGGCCCTGCACATAGAGATCCCCAGAAGGACTATGTGACTTGCCCAAGCTCATACAGGATGCCTGTGGCGAAGCAGGAATTGATTCCAGCTCTCCCACAGCCCAGGATAATGCTCCAGCCATTAGGTCATCCTTCCTCCCAGTGGCTGGTGGTTATGTTCTGTAGATCAGGGAGGAGGGAGGTGTAACCCACAGATCAGTAGGTGATACTGGCACTGTTGTAAGTGGTAAGTAGTTGATTCATGTCCTTGATCAAATTTCCTACTATTGTTGCATTGGGTGCCACCCTCCCATCCCAGCGAGGACTGAAACACTTCTGCTTGCCTGAAGGCCTGTTCCTGCAGTCCTCACTTAGGCAGAATCACCATGCACCCCATGACATGGCAAGGTGAAGAGGGAATCAGGGTTTATGTTCATGCCACTATAAGTGGTTCGGCTCAAACAAGCCTGTGAAGCCAGTATTTGTATTTAAAGTCTGGAAGACGAGTTAAATTTTGTTTAAATTATGTTATTGCCTAGGTACTACAAGCATCATTACTGTATATATACACATTATTATGTGTATTACAACTAACTTCAGGGCCCTCTTGTGCTATGCACTGTGCAAACACATAGCAAAAGGCAAGCCCTACTACAAAAAGCTTGCAATTTGAATAGACAAGACCAGGGCCGGCTCCAGGCACCAGCTTAACAAGGAGGTGCTTGGGGCGGCCAAGGGAGAGGGGCGGCACCTGCGGCAATTCGGGGGCGGCAGGTCCCTCACTCCCTCTAGGAGCGAAGGACCTGCCGCTGAACTGCCGCCGCCAATCGCGGCTTTTTTTTTTTTGCTTGGGGCGGCAGAAATGCTGGAGCCAGCCCTGGACAAGACACACAGGCAGAGCTATCATCCTCATTTTACAGATGGAAAACTGAGGCACAGACAGAGTAAGTGATTTGCCCGAGGTCACATGGGGTCTGTGGCAGAGCCAGTCACTTAATCCAGATCTCCTGAGTCCCAGTATAATGCCTTAATCCCCCAGCACTCCCCACATTAGGACATGAGCTGAAGACCTCCTCAAACTTGTGTATGGTGTAACAGAGGAGGGACAATGGGATCTGGATCAACTGGACTACGGGAAAATACTACAGTTGAAAAGAGGCAGACTATTAATGCATGGGCTGTCCTTTGCTACCTCTCTTGTACTCTGCCCCCGCCCCCCATAGCCTATGCCCATCATCAGCCCCCCTTGAATGCCCTTTCAGCCCGCCCTCAGGCAAAGCCAAGGCACCTAGCCACTGTTAGCTCCACCCCCTCCCTCAGACCTGCTGAATCCCCTCAGAGTTGGCTCATTACCAGCCTCTTCTCCCCCACCATTGCTGCCTACCTCTCCATCGCTGTGGGCTCCTCTTGGCCCCATGGCTCACACACAGGGCATTCGGATGTGAGGGCAGCAGCTCTCCAGGTATCAGTGGCCCTGGCCCCTGTCTCACTCCTGGACGGGTAACTGAAGGCAGACGGACTGTACACAGTGGTCCCTGGGTCCATTGCCAACTGCAGCTGGTGATGGCGCGCGGTGGGTGACGGGCGCGATCACGTGGTGAAGCTCCTCACAGGAGTCCATGTCACCCACACAGAGTGGAGAGGGTGTTGCTCAGTGGGCTGCCCTGTGCTGCTATATGTTCAGGATCCATTCAGGCCAAGGTCTGTGAACAGACAGCAGGGCATCACTACGGGCATTGTCAACAGTGGCCCGGAAGCCCCAGAGCTCTGCCTGTCTCCCCCGCCTAGCAGCAACAGCGTGGGCCACAGTGGCTCTAACCTTTGCTACCTCCAAGAAGCAGCTGGGAGGAGGGGAAAGTATCTTCAGCTCAGCCAGGCAGCCCTTAACTTACAACTCCATGTAATAATTAACTCCCAGGGGCTGGCTGTCAGAATGAAGGATCCTGGGACTTGGAAGGGAAAATGCTTCTAGGAAACTGGCAAAGACAAGAAGAAAGACACTTGAGGGGGGAAGGCGCATTAGAACAGAACTGGTTCGGGAACACCTTGCTGGGTGTTCTGCCTCCACACAGCTGCTGGTGCTGTCACGGTGTCCCCCAGCTTCCAAGGATGGGCAGCTCGGGAGAGAGGCAATAGGACAAACGCTGGAGCCCTAAGCACCCAAACAAGCTGGAGTGTGAGGGTGGGGAACAGCAAGGAATGTACAGCAGAGAGCAAAGATCAACAGGTCTCATGCAGACACTCCTGGGTTTCGGGCCACAGGTGAGGTACATTTTCCTCTCCTCCTCCTCATTCTTCAATGAAAAATAACTTGGACAGAACATTTCTGGGCAGCTTCTAGGTACACAAGAAAAGTTACCAACATGGAAAAGTGTTCAATAAAAACCAAGTGTTCAATACCATCCCCCCTCAGAGGGCCCCATTGTAGTATCTCACACTCCCACCAACCATCTTATCTTCATTCCCCACCTTCCTACTTACCCCCCACACACACCCCTCCTCCTCTCCAATCAACCCCAGGTCTCTGCTGAGCTCAGTTACTCTTGGCTCCCAGCGCTGCCTGCCTCTCTCAGTAACTTGTTCCATAGGCTCATTCCTCTTAGTGGGAGAGAGTTCTGCAAGTCCCCTTGTCTCCTCTCACCACTGAGAGCCATCTTTCCAGCAACATTGATCCTTCCCAGAATGCCGAAAGCCTCCATCGGACACCCCCGTGTCCTGTTCCTCTTTCTCAATGGGACGAAACCCAAATCTCTAATCTTTTCCCTTTGATTTCTTAAACCCATTAAAACCCTGACTGCCATCTGTTGCATTTAATCATCTCCCCCCATCGAGCTCTGTATTTCTAATGTGCCCGTCACTAGGGGATCCAGTAGCGTAGCTAGCGGGGTGCAGGAGAAGCAGCCACTTCCCCTCAGCACATTTCCCAAAAGAGGCGCCTGCCGGGCCGGCGCTGGGGGCAGCACGGCCGGAGGAGCCATGGGGGGGGGGGGCGGCAGGCGCGGCTGGAGGAGCGAGGGGGCCGGCTCCTCGGCCATCGCACCCCACACGGCCCCAACATCGCTGCAGGCGCAGCCACCTCCTGGGGCAGCTCAGGGCTCGGCGGCCAAGCGCTCCCCGCCCCGAGCGCTGGGATCCGCCCGCAGCGCGGGGCCGGGATCGGCCGGGGACAGGCGGCGGTGCAGGACAGAAGGTGAGCGGCGGGGGTCCGGTGCCTTGCACTGGGAGGTCCCCTCCGGGCGAGGGGCTCCCTGGGGCCGGGCCCGCAGGGCAGGGGCACAGGCCGCGCTGTCTGGACCGGGGGCCCTGGCGCGGCGCAGGAGCCTGGAGCCCGGGGCGGGGGGGACGGGACCCCGCGGGTGGGGCCGGGCGGCGCAGCCCAGCGGGGGACACCTGCAGAGTGGGCTGGGCAGGAGAGACTCTCCCGGGACCATGGGGGGACGGGGGTATCCGCACCCCCGGGAAGCCCGCAGGAGTCCTGAGCCGGGCCCCGGGGTTAATCTGGGGGCGAAATGGGAGGAGCCAAGGGGGGTGGCGTGGCCAGAGGAGGAGCCAAGGGGGGGCACCTTTTTTATGTTTGCTCCCCCTACACTTAGACCCTGGCTACGCCACTGAGGGGATCTGAGGCCTGGTCTACACTTAAAATGTAGTTCGCCACAGCTACAGTGCTCAGGGGCATGAAAAATCCACGTCCCTGAGTGCCATAGCTACGCTGACCTAACCCTCGGGGTAACCACAGCTAGGTCGATGGAACAGTGCTTCCCTTGACCTAGCTACCATCACTTGGGGGGGCAGCGATGGAAAAACCCCTTCCGTCGCTGTAGGTTTTGGCTCTGCTATAGGGTTATGCCGGCATTGCTGCGGCTCCATAGCTACACCACTGTAGCCCCCGCGATGTGTGCTTGTCCCATGTGCCCAGCTACACACACAGTATCCCAGAGGGGGCCCAACAGGTGCCCGATTCACTAACATTATTGCTGCTTTTTTGGAGCCCAAGGGCCAGATTTTCAAAGGTATTTAGGAGTCTAAAGATGCAGATAGGCAGGCAGGCGCCTAATGGGATTTTCGCCTAAGCAGGTTAGATGCCCAAGTTCCACTGAGATCAGTGGGAGCTGGGCATTGACTACTGAGAATGCCACGAGGTGCCGGCCTTTCTGGATCTTTAGACTCCTAAATACCTTTGAAAATCTGGCCCTACTTCCTCAGCCGGTACCCAGGAGCAGCTCCCACTGAGCCTATGGCCAATCTGCAGCGGCTGGGGAATCAGGCCTTTGTTTTGTATTTTATCCTTCTGCTAACACTGCACAGCACCTCGTTTGTCCAATTCACTGCAGCCCGGCCCTGCCTTGATGCTTCCAATTATTTCTCCACTAAAACACTCAAATCCACCTTTCTGCTTCATGCCCTGAAGTCTTCTCGTTCTCTCTCTCCTCCCCCCAGGGCCGGCGCAACCCATTAGGTGACCTAGGCGGTCGCCTAGGGCACTACAATTTGGGGAGCGGCGACCGCGGCGGTATTTCGGCGGTGGGACCTTCCACCGCCTCTGTGGGGAGCGGCATTTCGCAGCGGGACCTTCCGTCACCTTGGGCGGCAGAAAAGCTGGCAGTACTCCTGCCTCCCCCACACCCTCTATGACTGTGGTAAGTGTCTAGTTCCACCCCATCTGCCCTACACCTATAACCCGTCATAGGAGCAGGTCGCAACACTGTTCCTACATTTAGTGAGGGGATGACCGGACCTGTGTGCCACACCCAGGCTACCTAGCCTTAGTCACAATCTGCAGTGACCCCATACCTTCACCAGGTGACTTCCCCACAGCACAGACTGTGTGGTAACCTGACACACATACACCATGAGACTAGCAGAAATTGCAGATGAAAAGGAAAGGTTCTCATCCCCTTTTTAGTTCTGTTTCTTGTGTCCTAGATTTCAGTCCCTAAACCATAATCATAGAATCACAGAAATGTAGGGCTAGAAGGGACCTCAAGAGGTCATCAAGTCCAGCCTCCTGCACTCAGACAGGATCAAATAAGCCTAGACCATCTCTGATGGATGTTTTTCCAACCTGATTTTAAAAACTTCCAAGGACGGGGATTCCACAACCACCTTTGGAAGCCAATTCCAGAGCTTAACTACCTGTATAGTTAGAAAGTTTTCCTACTGTCTAACCTAAATCTGCAGATTACACCCATTACTTCTTGTCCTGCCTTCAGTGGACATGGAGAACAATTGATCATCATCCTCTTTATAACAGCTCTTAACATATTTGGGTCCTCTTCTTTTCTCAAAACTAAACATGCCCAGTTTTTTTTAACTTTTCCTCATAGCTCAGGTTTTCTAAACCTTTTATCATTTTTGTTGCTCTCCCTTGGACTCTTGGTAATTTATCCACATCTTTCCTAAAGTGTGTGCCCAGAATTGGACACAGTACTCCACCTGAGACCTCACCAGTGCTGAGTAGAGCCAGACAATATCTCCCTTGGTCCCCAATCTATGGTTCTGCATCTTCCTCCATTCCAATGCTCTGCTCTCCTGCACGCACGTGACACACACACTCCTCTGCCTATGAGCTAGGTATAAATGTCCAGGAACCCAATGTTTGCTGTAATCAAGGTGCAACTCTGTCCTTGGTAACAATAGTAGCTGTTTGAGCCAGGTCATGCTGACCAGCACCAGCCAGACCCTCCACTTCCAGGGCACCGAGATCCAATGCAGCCCAGTTCTGGGAAGTAAGAGCGTGGTTGTCAGAACTGACCCTGTTATCGCTGACTCAGTTTCACCTTCCCAGATCAGGCCAGGAGGGACCCAGGGGCCAGAAATCCTAGTAAAGAGGCTCCTAGTAAAGGGGCTGAGGGTCCCAGGCTGGGAACTAGAGGCAGCCCAGAACCAACAAACCCAGACAGGATGTTATTGCCATGAAAATAAGAGAATGAAAACAAGGGCCTGGAAATCCAGGCTCCTGCCGCCCACTCCCTCCCTCCCCGCCTCAGCCAGCTGTGTGGAATGTTTGCACAACTGGCTGGACTGTTTTTCATGAGAATCCTCCTGGGATCCCTGGATCGGGATCTCAGATTTCAGAGGAACCAGCTAGGGGAGGTCAGCAAAAAGGAATCCGCTGTCACTACAAAACAACTGCACCCCCTCCATGGCGTCAGGATGAAAGAGCCAATCTGGGATGACAGACAGAGTTCAAGAGCAAAAGTCCCAAATGAAGCTGCCGGAAGAGAAGGGGACTGGTGCAGTTGTGACACCAGTGCCACATTGTTAATGTGGATGCTGGCCAGAAACTGCCTTGTATTAGCACTGAAGAGAGACCTACCAACGCGCTAGTGCTTCCTGCCAGCTCAGAGCTGTGCAGAGGCTCCAGAGAGGGAACTGGGATCTTGCTCACAGAGCCATGTGGATGTTTTTGCAGGGATTAGTCTGAACCCAGGAGTTAAAGCAGCTTGAAAGAGGAGGGGGAGCGGGGAGGAAGCACTGCTTACCCAAACCTGGGAGAGAAGGAGGAGTGAAGGAGAGAGAGCTGCACTGTCCCCCCGGCCCCCACA